CCCTGGCCGCAGCCCGTGACCGACGAGCTACGTCCGCGCAAAGTCAGGTTGTTTCAAACTTATATGCGGTCCCCCATGGATCCTCATTTAGGGATTCCACGAGTTGTCGCCACGAGCATTCCTTCGCCTTGTAGATTGCCGCCCTTAGATGTTTCTTCGCTGTTCTGTACTCATTCACTTTAATTTCGATCTCGTCCGGGTCTAGACGCCTTCTATGAGCTCGTTTGACCGCCCTGCGAGCCTTCATCGTATCCATTCTTAATTGTGACACTTCCTCGTTCCACCAGTGAACAGTCTTCCTCGGACGGGTCTTCATCCTTGGCATTGCAATGTCGCAGGCATTTATTGCAATCTTTTGTAGCTTGTCTGCTTCAGTATTCGGGTCGCAATCCTCTATGTTTTGTGCTTGGTAACTCATCGGCCACCTGCTCGTTGTGATGGCTGCCTCAAGCATGTCGTTATTTAGTTTTTTAACGACCCAACGTTGAGCAGTGATTAGGCTCCTTCTTTCCTGGGAGCTTGTTAACCCCAGGTTCATGGTGATAAATAGGTGGTCCAACATGGTCTCCACCTGTCTTACTTGCCAATTTGAGATCCTCTTAGTGAGACCCACGTTATATCCACAACGGATTCACCCGTGGTCCTGACACACGTACTCATCATTCCCGTGTTCGTGCAGCAGAGTCCCAAGCTCTCGGCCCAGTCCTCAAGCAGCCGACCCCTCAGATTCGTAAGTCTATCAACCCACAGCGTCGACCTGGAGTTAAAATTTCCCGCGACAATTATGGGACTTCTTATGTAACTCTGCAAGTGTCTTGAGAGGTCCTCCAGGACCCCCTCAAAGTTAGACCTGGGAAGACTGGAGGAGATGTACACACCAGTGACAAACACATCTCCCTACTTGATTGTAACAAATCCCCTGCCTGCATAGACTCTAGACAGCGGGAGCGGGTGAGCACTCCGGCGCCAGTAGATGGCAACATCCCCCTGTAAGTCACCCACCCAATGGGGGTGGTCCGGGACTCGGCAACCACTGCCAGGCCAACATCGTACTCCGCCATCGTTTGGGCCAGAATGTCCTGAGCATTTCTGGCCCTATTTAAGTTGCCCTGAAGCAGTGTATTGGCCATTGAGCTCGCTATTTTGAGTTATTTCCATTCTCTGGACTTCTCCAGCCAACCGTTCCCGGTTCGTCATTTGTGTGCCAATCAGCAGGACTCAACTCCGAGGTCCCAGGTAGATTACGTAGCGTCTCAGTTTCCACAGGGGACTCCAGCGGAGTGAGGCTATCCGACACCGTCATATCCCCGGTCATCTTTTCCTATTGATCTTTTCTTGGTTTTTCCTCCGTAGTTCCTATGTATCGTCCCTGGGCTTTCTGTGTATACCCACTATGCTCTGTAAGAGAACCAGTTTCCTGGGTTTTTCCCATTCTCCGATCTTATTGATCGGATATCTGGTACTTTTGCACCTTTTTCTTGGTTCTTCGACCTATCTCGGGATGGCAGGCGTTTCCCCCCATTCGATGACCGTGAGGAAGTCCAGCCTCCTCGCATACCAGACACTTGGCAGCTTTCGTACACTCTCGTGCCTGGTGGCCCACTTCCCCACATCTATAACATGTGCTACGATCCGTAGTGTTCCTGCATTCAGACCTTACATGTCCGAATTGCAGGCATTTGAAACACTGTAGCCCACGATCCGGGTGCGGCGTTATCTTTGCAGTAGTCCATCCTATTTTTATTTTCTTCCGGTCTATTAGTTTATTAGCCGCCGCCACTGGGCACTTTACCCATATGAACCCGAGTCCATTTCGGGCTTTGCTAATAGGACCCAGTTTTATATCCGCATGGTTACTTTCAGTTGCGGTCACTATGGTCTGCACCACGTCCATAGTTGATATTGAATCATCCAGATTATTGATTCGAATTTCGGCCGTTTTGATAGGGCGTGAGATCTTGATCTCCCCATTATCGACGAAGGTCTCCTGCAACTTCATAGCGAGTGCATCAGCCTTTGCTACACCGTCCGAGCCGGGAATTTCAAGCAGGAGGCCCCGGTCTTAGCACGTAGTGGGCGTAGCTTCGAGATCCCCAGTTCCTCCAAATTAATGCGTTCCTTGGCTAGCTTTAAGGTATACGCATATGTAATATCTTTCTCTGTCGCGATTTGAACGACCGAGGTACGCGATGGCCTCTTCTTTTTAACCTCAGTGGGGGCTTTCTGACCCACCAAGGCCTTAGGGCCCCTCCCTGTAGGTCTCGGGACTGTTTGTTTTTTAAGGTCTCTCTTGGCCTTTCTTCCAATGACTGTAGCCCATGTTTTGACCGTCTCCACAGTCGTAGTTACTCGAGAGGGTGGTTCCCCCTTGTGCTCTTTCTCGGCAAGTCGTACTGTACGCGACCCTGATCTCGTTCTTCTTTTATTGGCTCCTTGGGGGTCGGCACCCGTCCCGAGCTCCTCCCTAATAATTTCTCTAATGAGATCTGCAAGTTCAGTTGGTTTATTTGCCATTTGTCCTAAGTTCTGTGTATTCTTCTTTTCCTCCTACTTCTTACTTTTTGTAGAACCGCCCTGACCCGTCTTTTTGCTATTTTTATCGCCAGATTTTATGTTGACAATTGTCACTTTTTGATTGTCCGGCAGGATACGGTCTTCGATTATCCTGACCTTACCGCGAATCGCCGGTTTTATGGCTGGAGGCCTCCCTTGGCGGTAGGGTCACTTTCTCTGGTTCCTCTTAGTTTATCTTCATTTTGCTATTTTCGGATATTTCCTCATTATAGTTTTTCGTCTTATATCCCATTTAGTATGAGCGAAGTGAACCCAGTTTCTCAGGGATCTCCTTGGAGTTGCTCGCTCGAGACGGTCCTGCTTCTGCTTCTTGAGAGCTTTTCCTGCCTGATAGCCTCTTCAGATCTGCGAGCTCCTTTTTTAACTTGGCTATCTGCTCCTCCGTAGCTTTGGTTCTCTCTTTCTCTTTATTTAGTCATCAAAACTCTTCCTTATGCCCAAGATCTCCCTTTTCAAAAGGACGCCGCTTCATCCATTGAGGCTTTTAGCTCGTCCCTGCAGCACTTAAAGACATCCGATCGTCTCAGCAGCGGACAACTTTAGGGACTTCTGGTAAGTCCCTTTTAAGTTGCTGGATGTTTTTGCAATTCGCATTACCTCCATCATATACTCTCCCGCTTTTTTAGCGAGTTCGCAGCTCGACTGATCTTTAGCCTCCTCAATGTATTTGTCCAGATTAATTTTTGACTTTTTAATTAAGTCTTTATTAGACAGCTCTCTAATAACGTCTTCTTTTTGGAGTTGTAATCGTTTCTCCTCTTGTTCATTTACTTTTTGGAGGACCTCACGTGTTAAGTACCGTTCCCTCCAATCCTTCTTTGGATCAGCGTCATCCAAGCTGCTGTCCTGGGATACATTTGAGCTGGATCGTCCCCTTCTTATTTTGTCGACCGATGAAGCATCGTCGTCCAGGGCGATTATTTTGTCTGGAGGTTCCTCGATTTCACCTCCTCTTCCACATCCTTATGAGCGCTAGGTTTTCTAAAGAAAGAGCCTCTCTCGATCCTTTCTCTCTCCTCCCTTCCTCATCCGATGTCTCGGTATCAGTGGCACCGTCTTTTTTTATATTTGTTTGGCTCCTTTTTTGAGTCATCAATTCTCTACGAGCCTTAGAGCATTTCGGCCCCGGAAGCTCTCTCGACCATCCCTGGAGCAGCCAGCGTCGATGGGTTCCCAGATTGGTTCTCCGTCAAGGGAGAGCCAATACCATCCTTGAGACGCAATGTCTCAGGTGTTTCCTCCTCCGGACTCAGGAAATCTTCGTCCTCATAACTGAGAGCATAATATGCTCTGTTAGGAGCCTCCATGAGATCTGTCCCCTCACTGTCCCACTCCAGAGGGACCGTTTCAGTGGCAGAGTTCTCGTTCTGAGAGTTCCCATCAGACCCATTTTCCGGATGGGTCGTACAGTTATCCTCCTTCAAGGAGGCCTCAGTCTTCCCTATACACTCTGTACACGACATCAGCGTCGTCTCTGTCGTCGCAGGCGCACTTCTGCTTGACGACGGGCCTGCGGTGCACCCGCCGTCGCGCCTGTCGCATGATACCTGATCCCTAGGGACCAGGTCCGACATGGGGGTGGCCAGGATACCACCTCCCCACGCCGGCAGCTGTCGGTTCCGATGCCGACTGCTGACGTAGTCATCGGCTTCTTGTTTTCCATCTATCGTGGATTGAAAGTTGGGGCTATTTTTACAAGCCGCTCCCAGCAGGGTGTACGATTACTTTCGGGTTTTATAGGGTTTTCCTTCCCTTGCCTTCATACCGCCGGGCCTCGCCTCGGAATAAGTTGGAGCGGGCCCGGCGGGCCAGGGCAGCAGGCCCCGCCTCGGAATACGTCCGAGCATGGCACGTTAAACCCCCAAGGTTGCCGTCGGGGGAGCCCCCGCGCCACGGCAAGGCCGTGCACCGTGAGGGGGTAATAACTTAGCCTAACCTTGCAGCCGGAAGAGGACATCTGCCTGCCACCCCGCATTCGGCCTCGGCACCACGGACACGCGGGAGACCAAACCCCGGAGTGGTGACATTTAGGTAATAGAAACAAATTGCGTTGAATAAAAAAAACTAAAAAAGCACATAAAAATAGATACATATATATACATATTTAATTCATAGATAGTTAAGGAAAGTTAGATTTAAGTTAAAAATGACCGCAATAAGAGCGGTAACCCGAATAAGGGAGTAATTTAATTAGGGTTAGTTGCGGACGATAATCTTTGTTTGTTAGTTCGATTAATTCTTTTTCGTTCAAGTGTTCAGGCGGAAACCCGCCATGAACGGTCGATTCTAAAGGCCGACAAAAAGTAAAAGTAAGATTATTTGGTTTATTGAGGCACGTAGCCTCAATGGTTTCGGAAAAACATAAACGCTAAAATTTTACGCGTCGCGTATATGCCAGACGGCAAAGCGCAAAAGGGACCGAAAATACAGAGGATCCGCAAAATAATCGACTAATATAAAAGGGATCGCGAGATCGAAAAACCAGACCGCTATAGTCACCTATGACCTCAGAGGAGCGGAACCATAAAGTTCAAGCAAACGGAACATACCGGGTGTGTCCGAAATCCTGTTAGGGAACAATAAATGGTAAGCTAGCGGAAAACGTGACCGTTATAGCCAATAGGGTCCGGAAAGCGACATAACCACCGAGTACGAACCGAGTACATATACCGGGTGTGTCCGGAATCCTGTTAGGGAGTAACAAATTGTAAGCTATCGAAAAACGCGATCGCTATCGCGAATAGGGTCTGGAATGCGACGTAACCACCGGGAAGGACCGTCCCGAAGATACCGGGTGTCCGTGAATTCTTGTTACGGCATTGAAGGGACCAATAGTCATCGTTGTGAGGAAACGTACAAATGTAAATATTGTATATAGACAGGGGGGTGCAGCCGGGAAAAATTAGTAACCTGTAAATAAATTTTATTCTAATACCTGTAACTCCAGCGGGAGAACACGAGCGGCAGCATCCTTCCAATACGGCGAGTACCTGAAAATAAAAGAAAATCATAGATTAAAAAAATCATATAACTATAAAATGCAGGAACAGAATCAAACGGCGTAACTGATAGGATAAGCGAACGTCGTGAGAGGTTACAGCGCGCAACGTGAACGCGCAGATGCGAGCGCGATGGAGGGGATAAGCAGCGGATATAAGAAGGCGAGCGCGTGAGCGTTGAGCAGTTAATCAGTCAGAGTCGGAACTAAAATTCTGAACGAGGATCGTCCCGAGCGGGAGACTGAGCGGGAGCTAACCACCCGTCGTAGGGCGTAAATGGATTAGTAGGTCTAGTGTAGAGTAGTGGAGTTCTCTTCGGATCACCATCGGATCTCGTCGTCGGGGATTACTATCCGGAAATTAACCGAGTCGACCGATGGTCATCCAGGAGTTGTGATTGGGACCGTTTCAAGCGCGTGTCGAATAGCGGTGAGCGCGATAGTGAACGGGGGCTCATCTCCACGTCTCTAGTCGAGTGATGGACGAATAAGGGGAATGAATGAATACCGAAATTGTGTGAATTGTGTGTCATAAGCGGCGCGCGTCTCTGGCGCAATCACCAGAGCGGCGTTATGCGGATAAATGTAAATTCGAATAGCAGTGTTTCCACGAATAAACTATCATTGTGAGTTTCCTGCTATACGGAGTTTTATAATTCAATGAAACCTTTCCCCCTGCGACCGAGAAGAATCGGAGTAAGCCGATCAAGAGGCGCGAGGCTGACGACCATTAACATTGGAGGGCGAGACCTTCTCTTTTGAAGGTTTAAGGGCTTACTTATGGCATATAAGTGAAAAAATAGCACATTTTTTGGAATTTTTTTTAGATTTATATAAAAAGCAAACGTATCGGCGTCTTTTGAACAGAATAAAGTTTACTTTGAAGAACATTTCATGAAAATTTGAATAAAAAATATTAAAAAATCGGCCGCTGGCAGTAATTTTCCGGGGACGCGTTTTGAAAATGTCGTCTTGCGGTGCCTATCATATCTGGATAGCGGATTATCTGAAATCAAAAAATTGAATAGATTTCATTAGTAGATGAGTTTTGCTAGCCCCCAACGGTTTTATTTTATTTTTTTTTCATTTTTGAAATTTTGGAAACGTTTTAAAGCCAAAATTGCGATTTTTACTACTAAAAGTTGGCCATTTTAAATCTGTAAAATCAGCTAAAATTGCTAAAAAAAGGAAAATAAAACCGTTGGGGGCTAGTATTATATGTGCAAAAAGTATGTGCAAAATTTCAAAAGGATCGGTTCAATATTATTTAAGTTACAGTGGTCACCGACTTTAAAAATAACTTTTCGAGAAAAACGCGTTTAAAGTTTTACATTCATTTATATGTTCATAAAATGTGGAAAACTTTTTTTTTCGTTTACTTACATAGAATCGTCGATTCCAGGCCCATACAGCAATGTTCCTGCTGC